TCACCATCACCATCACCATCACCATATATCACCATCGTCATCGTCATCGTCGTCATCATCATGATCATCATGGTCATCATCATCATCATCAGCAGCATCAGCAGCATCAGCAGCAGCATCAGCATCAGCATCGTTATATCTACACAACCCCACAGCATTCTGCAGGGTGCGAAAGCCGACAAAAGTCGGGAAGGCGTCCGGCTTGCCTTGCAGGGCTATGCCCAGGTTGCTTGGAGCGCTTTCAGGACTTTCAGTGTCCTAGACGGCTGTAGAGGCACTGTAGCGGAAGGTCGGTGCTCAGTCTCTGCCAGGGACTTCAACGCTTCGCAAAGGGCCGGCAGGATTATCAGTATTCAGTATTATCACCGTTCGATCTTGTAGCGAGTAAGTTTTTACCTGAATTGTTTACGTGACAAGTGCTATGTAAGTGCTGAGGTCCTGTAACTGTTGTGTCAGCTATGGTTGTCGCGAAATGCCCACTTGCTGCTTGCCATGCCACTTATACGTAAGCAGCATACCAAGAGCACCATGGGATCTTTTCAATGCATCTAGAGCTACGATTTGACGTGTTGCTTGGTCTTTCTGTCAGTGGTGGCAAAGAAGAAGATGACCGCAGTGTCAGGTGAGTGGTTTGAAGCAGACACAGTACTCGCGTTATGGACGTTCATGTTAGCTAGAACTTCTGTATCATTGCTCTTGTTTCGGTATCGCCAAACATATGCATCGTTGGATATTCCCTTGGGGTCACTGCTAGGGGTGCTAGTAGAAGTAGCCCAGCCGATGTCACGATAGTCTTGAGTTTCTTTGCTCTGCTGTCGGCTCCAAACCCGATCATTTCAGCTGTCCTTGCTCTGCAGGAATGGCCTCTCGCCTCCAGGCTGAGTTCCAACACCCCCCCGAGTCAGAAAGCGCCCGAGCTCTTTTCAATTTCAGGTCCTTCGTGCTGAACGCCCGAAGTCCTTCTAAGCGATGGCCAGAAACAGCCCTTTGCAGGAAGGGGAGTGGGTCTTCGAGGTGGGCCAGGCGAGGGACAGACACTTTATCGATAGCTAAAGGAGCTTCGGGTTTAATGGGCCAAAGGGGCTTTTGGCTGAGGGTTTAGGTGTTTGGGTTTAGTGTAGGGTTTAGGGTTGAGGGTCTAGGGCACCTGCCATGGAAATGACACCAACGCCATGACTCCAGCAGACAGAGCAGGATCCATCTATCTGCCCATGACTGTATGTGTGCTGCTGGTCTAAAGGATTCTTAGTCTAGTCTGTGTGTGTTCGTGCTGCTACGAGTTTGAAGCCTAGAGCTCACGGATTTGACTTTGGCTGGGAGGGTTCTGGTCTCGTATGTTGGAGGCTTGGGGGTGCTTAGGCTCCAGGGTTGGTTGTTTTTGTCTTTGCTGCTTTTGTTGGGTGGTGGTTGTGCGTGGCGTTGCCATTGTTCTTCCGAGTCTTCTGATAAGCCTCGTACTGACTTACTGCTAGTGTTACAACCGCAGGCGGTCGAAGGTGCTTTCGATCCTTACTCCGACATCATGCGGGCCTCTTCGCCGCGGCCTGGGTTGTTCTTTCTGGTGACGACACCCTGTAGCGAAGCTTCTACTAGAATTACGACTACAGTATCCGTTTCCGCGTATCGCAGAAGCACATTCATTCAGGCCCGAACATCGGCAAGATGCGTGTCTCTGGGCCGAGGAGCAACCCTATCTTCCTTCGCAAGGACACGCTGCATCCTCAGAGTTGTGCAAGGTGACGCGAAGTGCTGCGTGATTGAGTTTCTGGTCACGGTGATGATGATTTGTAGTCTTCACTACTGTTGGACCGATTTCAGATGCTGTCATCATCATCATCATCGTCATCTTCATCATCATCATCATCATCATCATCATCATCATTGTGACCATCATCATCATCATCATTGCTTCTGTTGCTGTCGCTGTTGCTGCCTGTGCTGGTGTTGGTGTTGGTGTTGGTGTTTCTATTGCTGTTGGTGTTGGTATTGGTGTTGTTGGGTTTGGTGTTGTTGTTGGTCCTCGTGGTGGTGGTGGTGGTGGTGGTCATGCCTAGTTTGCAAATATGCCCACTTCTCAGCAGCACTGGTAGTACCTGCTTTGCACACCATCACGCCGACAACTCTGCACTTCGGACCCTACGTGAAGTCCGTAATGCACAAAATCAAGTTTGAGAGATCCGACAGTGCGTAACATTTACCATACAGAGACGTACACACATGCATGCATGCATGTATGCACACACGTTAATTGCGCAATGTTACTATGCGCAACACGCGACATGGGTTGATATGGGACATGTTGAAAGCGTCGACGTCAGCTAAGGCCCGAGCACTTCCAGTGGCGGATCCGCAACCTCCCGTACCCTGCCGACGTGTACAGCGTGTCGGTACGCCGCCGAAAACTCCGTTGGTCTTCGTGCTGCGATTTAACATTCGAACCAACACCCTTCTGACACGGAGATTACCTTACGTTACTCTTGAGGCTGAAGTGATGCTCTGGTGATGTCTGTCTGGCAAAGCTACTTGTAGATATGTCACGCCTTCTCAGTCACTTTACGCTTCCAGCGCCTGGCAAGGAGCAAGTACGTAATGCATGGTCATTTTCGTCGCCAGGTGGATCATGAGAAGCAGGAGATTGTGGTAAGGACTTCCAACAAGAAGTACTTCAAGAGGCCCAGTTGCGTGCAGAATTTGATTTTTGCGACCCTTGCAGAACAGCCTATGTGATGTCTCCGCTTGAAGCCGTCTAGATCTAGACCGGAAGTGAGTATGATTTCTGCAATGAGAAGTCTCTTGAGCCCCTGTCGTGTCAGGATACAGGTTCCAGACCTTCCGCGGCATGACTTGAAGTTCAAGGACTGGGAGGGGGAGGGGGAGGTAGTTATTCAGCACCTGTAGTCATGTTAAGCAGCTCGCATGTTTCTACTACGAGTAGTATGTTAGAATGACCGCCAGCCTCGCAGCCCCCAATCCCAGCGTCAGCCCTGGAGCCCTGGAAAGTACGGCCAAAGCCCTGAAACCTCAAGTTTTTGGACCTGATCAAGGAAGCCTCAGACCCCAGTTTCGTAACATAGGGGCCTAAACAATTGCCAATATATACTATTTGATTGGTTCCTTATTATGGTTATAGTATGATGAGCCTCAAAACCCTATTCTAATTATTCATGCCCCTACATTACATCAGGATGAGCTGCTCTCCTGGAAGCACCAGTGGCAAGCTCAGAGAAGGTTCAGGTGAACAGCTTCGGGGTAAGTCAGGGAATCGGATCGCAGAGAGGAGATTGCCGCATGGTGGTTAAAAGTTAAAAGGTGCAGGGTAGAGCGGTTCGGATGTTAGGATTCAATCATAGCTTGGGCCCGCAGCCTGCAACAGGAAAGCTGGAACTTAGACATGGGCTGATGCTAGAAGATTCAGGCGTCAGGCGACAGTTCCTGTTCTTGCCTTGAGTTGGGGCAGACTCAGGGAGTTTGAAGACGTTGTGATTTCGGGCTCCGCAAGTTCACGTCCGAACCTCATTCATGCTCCCCCTGAGGCATAGCACGCTCATCATCTCCTATCGGAAGCTCGGCCCCTGGTAAGATCAAGCGCAGCCCTTGCGCGCGCTGGCTTCGTTTCTAGATTTTGTCTCCTTTCGGCTGATTGGAAAAGTATTTCGGCGCGCAGTGCGGTCGGGTCGGGATCGGGGTCTGGGGCCGGGGTTGGGGTCGGGGTCGTGGTTGTCGTCGTGGTCTGTCGTCGTCGTAGTAGTAGCGACATCTAGTAGCTTGTAGCTAATACAAGAAAAATTCAGTACACAAACATATCACACACACATGCCAACAGCAAGAAGTTTGAGAAGTCGTTCTTGAGCCTGCTGTCAAAGCCTGAACCCAATCATCAACAGACATGTTTCTTGTTCTAAGTTAGATGAACCTAAACCCTAAACATCTAAGCTGGCGGGAGTCGGCGCCCCCAGGCCGCCGGAGATCCTGAAAGGAGAGCAAGAGGCTCTCCGAGAGGCCGAGAGGCCGGGGGGGGGGGGGCGTCACTTCGTTCAGGGGGGGGCCGGGTTCTTTAAAACCCTAAGCTCCCAAACCTTTAATGGGGCTTTTTGGAGGGAAATTGAAGTCCTAAGCCCCAAACCTTTCAGGGGTTTTGGGCTCTTTTTGGAGGGCTTGGGCTTCAGGGCTTGCAGGGTCGGGTCGTTGCTGGTGGGGGGTGGTTTGGTGTGCCCATTCGGCATGTACTGGGATTGCAGGTTGCTCCCAAACCCAATTCCCAGTCTTTCTCTCAGCGCATCGGAAGGATGGGAAAGCACGAAGCCACATGCAGAGCCATAGGCAGCTCCCAGACCCTAAATTCCTAGGTGAGCTTCTAGCAGAAGCGGGAGCTTTGTGTTTCGTCGGGTCTTTAGGAGGTGTCATGCTGGCACAGTAGCAGTAGCAGGAGCATCAGGTGTGTTTGTCACAAAAGTTCGTCAGGTTTTTCAATTGCAAAGCCGCTGCACATGAGCAGGTCGGCCGTCAAAATGTGACGCAGCCCGCCCTCGCTGCAGTCTTGGAGTTAGTTTTACGATTCCAGGACATGCTTGAATTCGGAAGAGCGTTGCACGGTGCTGAAAAGGCTGACCTGGTAGAAGATGAAGACGTTGGTGCTGGGAGTCACATTCATCCACAAGAACACAAGCACAAACATCACTATAGAAGTGACAAGAGAGGAAGGCGTTAAACTTCGAAATCGTTAAATGTTGATGGAACGGTGGGAACTGAAATCAGGCACCATCGTCATCACGATCATACTCATTGCCAGGCACCTGATCATCATCAAGACCATCCGAAGGCCGACAGTCACAACAATAGGAGCACGACGCAGATGCCATATTACTTCCGCATCGGTCGTTACGTTGCAGCAGTCATGGCAGCCGTCATCACATGGTTAGTCATAATAGCCCGATTCATTGTAGTACAAAAAGCTAGTTCCGTGGCAGCCAAAGTTCCTGTAGCAGCCATATTTATCACAAGCTGCATGGTAATGGTGAGACGTACGACCCCTAAGATGACAGTGATCATTTTGATCGTGCCAATGCATGTAATTTCTTCGCAGCTCCTACGATCGTATCATCCATGAAAGAAACAAGGCTTCGAAACTTGCTACGTGCTCAAACTTCTCTTCTCTACCACAATCAGAACATGTGAGTCCATTGCAAGCCATGTGGCCATGATGCCCTCATGAAGCAGACCAGCCACACAAAGGCCACACTCATCTTGCTGACCATGCAACCATTCAGCTCGATAGAATCAGAGCGCTCCTCCTCCCCCTCCTCCTCCTCATCATCATCATCGTCACCATCATCATCATCAATATCATCACCCTCAACGTACTCAAAGCTGTGATGCAACTCGCGATATCCTTCAAAAAGCCTGGATTTAACATGATCCAAACGACTTAGTGCAAAGACGTGCCGTACTTTGCATGACACCCCTTGCATGCGTCATATTCACTGTCATCATGGTCACGTTTAGCAACGAATTTTGAACAAGCTGCTGCCGGGCATCTATGACACACCTCGTGCGAGCACCGTGGATGTCTGAGCACTGAGCCACTACCACCGCTGACCACGCAGCTCCATTTTTCTTGCTGTTTTCGGGGGCCTGACGGCTCTTGCCCGCGCATGCCATTTCAAGGCCGGACCTGGAGATACCACCCCACTTTTCGCAGTACGAAGTACCGTCCGGGGATGTTGTCCTTTAACTCACGTCCATTCCGCTGCTCGCATGCCACAGCTGCAACACATCGCAAGAGCTACCGGCGACGCAGGTCTCTGTGGGAGAACTTGCCGGGAGTCCGCAAGTCCAAGCCCGCTGGAGCAGTTCGCTGCCACACTGTCCCAGGGAGTCCGACCTCTGGATGAAGCATGTGAGGCAGCCTTCACAATGCGCCTCGAAGTCGATTTTTTGTTTCGGGTTCCGGAGGCCTGAAAGGATCCATGAATGTGGCCATTGCTCAGGTATACTTTGCCACTGGAGGCCGGTCCTGTCTCTTTGCTTCACTTCGTGCTAGGACCACCCCTCTGCACCCGCTTTGGGAGGCCTTCATGAAACTGTCTGTCGTCAAGGCGCATGAGGAGCTGCTGCGCAGCGGCGACCTTGTCGAGTTTGAGAAGACTCATGGACATGCAGTCTTCGTGTCGCACCAGTGGCTTGCTGATGAGCATCCTGACCCAGCCGGGCAGCAGCTGAAAGTTCTGCAGGATGCTCTCAGAAACATGTTGTCTGGCAAGAGCCAGATCGTCGTTCCGCCGGTTGTTGAAATCCTTGCGGGGCGCGTCTCTGCGCCAGCAGCATCGGAACTACGTGCCAAGCCGCTGTTCATCTGGTACGATTACTTCTCCTGCCCTCAATCCTGCGCGGATAGTCAGGCATCTGCAATCAGAAGCATCAACTCTTACGTGGCTCGCAGTGCGTACTTCATGGTCTTGTGTCCTGCGCTGAAACACCAGCCTCCTGGCGAGCTGTTCTTCTGAGTTTCACTTGATATCTTGATGCTCCCATAAGGACGGCAAGCCCCTAAGAAAAGCTATCCCGAAGACGATCTACAACCAAAGACGAACTGGAAATAGGCTTCAGCAGACGTGACCAACAATCGCCAGGATCCGGGTTTCTCTGAATGAACAAGCGACTGGCCAAGATGCTCAAAAGTTTAAGAATGAAAGCTGAACTCCGAAACCAGTCCTCCGTGAAGGCAGTTTACCACATAATTTTGGCCTGGAAGTCTTCAGCTTTCGAGGGGTAGAAGTAGAAGATACCCGGAAGGCCGTCCGATGTTGTTCTTTTCAGGCTTGGTGGGAGGGTCTCCCGAAACCCGAAACCCCCGTGGCGGCTCGGGGAGCCAACAGTCCCCTTGTTCTGGGAAGATTCGGGACCTGGGAGCTAGCTCTGTTCGCTCATGCTCGCATTTCTGTTGCTGCTAGTTCTATATCATCTTCACCCTAAACCCTAAACCCTATACCGTAAGGCCCCTGAACCCCAAGAAAAGCCCGCAGCTCTAGCCGTGGCCGAGCGTGTTGCTCTCTTCATTCAGGCAGCATGGAGGAATCCTGAGCCAGACGACCTGGGGTGGAAGGCCTGACTCGGCTTGGTTCCTTTCGGATGTAGGGCTCAGGGCCAGTGAGGTCTCAGGGTTTGTGGTTTTTCGGGGTTTCGGGTGTAAGCATCTGGGGCTTAAGAACTTATGTCTTCGGGCTGACGATTGGGGATTTCAGGCTCGAACTTGAACCTTGAGGATTCACAGTGGGAGTTTTCCGACTTTGGCGATAACCAGGTAACCAACTTTGGATTCAGGGTGTCGGGTGTCCGAAGCGATGGTGCTTTGATCAAGCCCACTCAGCTTCCACCACAGACATGCCAGCGTTTCTTTTTTCAACATCCATGCCAGGTCGGTTAGGCTAGGTTGCACGAGAAGGATACCGGTTGATGAAAGTTTGATGAGTTTAGTTTAGGGCTCAAGGGGGGGGGCATAGTCTAGTCTCAAAGTGCCAAGCCGAAGATTAGAGGATAGCTTCAGCTTCGCTGAGGCTGTTGGGGTTGAGGTTCTTTTTCGACGACAAGGCAGCATACACTTCAGTTCGTGTGGAGGAAGAGTTGCTGCAAGACCATTTGGTGCCCGACTTTTCGTGTGGAGAGATCTCTCCCAAGCGACTGATCCCTGCAAGCAGTGAGGGGACTGCTCCCGAGCTGACCTGCATTATAACATAAGCATGAAGATGGATAGTCGTCTAAATTAGGGTCCCTTTTTGGGCAAATTTTAGGGTCCTTTCTATAAGGGTGCCATACTATATTGGGGACCTAAAAGGGACCCTAATTTAGAGAACTACCCAGATGCTTGATCCCTGCAGGGGTTGGTGCCGAGCCGAGAGAATGTCGCGCGAGCTGGGCCACATTGACAGCAGTCTTATTGTTGTGGAAAGCGCGACTCACCAGACCCTGCTGCCAGATTATTCTTCCTTCTTGTGCCATGGCTGAAGCACCTAGATTGGGCTGGCGATTTTTTCTGCTAAACCAATGGCTTTTCTCGCGTCTATTGCCCGGATGTGAGGTACTCTGTTGGAGATGGGTCTTTCACTCATGAGGAAGACCGCCCGCGCGTGAACACCATCATCGTGCAGATGGTCTGGAGTAAGTTGCTGTACTACCTCTCGCAGGGCGAATTGCACAATTACCGCTTCCTCTTGATCCGTGCCCGAAAAGATGGGAGTGGGATGCACTCCTCGTAGTGTAACCGTCCAACCTTCAAATGCGCCAGAGAAATCAGCCCGAACGAGAAGACACGAACCCCCGGGTACGTCAAGTCTAAACCTGAAACCTTATCGCCTCAAACCTTGCACCCTAAGCCACGAACCCTCAGCCCTTCTCTGTAAATTTGTAGCGAGGAACCAGCAGTCGGTCCGCTTTGCCAAGCTCACTGCTGACCATATTGACATGGCCATTCCAGGCTTCACCACGGAGGTGCCTGCTTTGCTTTCACAAGTTAGGGCCTTTAGGATTATGCTAGCAGCTGCGGTAGTAACCTTCGAAACATTGGCCAGTTTCTTGCTCTGTTGATTGTTACTGGTAGTAGCTCGGAGTTGTTTTCCTCTGATTGCTCCCTCAGTTTGGCACGGCTTCGGGGCTAATAACGTCGTAGCGTATGGCCCCCACGTCTGTAACATGGGCGCTGTATCTGAGGCAACGTAGCTGGTGCCTCTATGAGAGGAGATAAATGAATGTTGGCAGGGTTTTGGAGTGCCAGCAATGAGAAACTTAGCAACGGTTGTTGACAAAGGAAATCAGGTGGCTGAAAACACAGAAATGTCGCTGGCAGCACGAGAAATTCAACAGGAGTCCCTATGTGAGAACACATCGAGATCACGTGGCATTTCAGGTGGAGGAAAATATAGGGGTTTAATAGATATAACACAAGACAAACACAAGCAGCAACATCATAACGCACATGTCTTTTCTGTGAACAACTCCGCATCCGAGCAGCTTAGATCTGAAGGCATCCATCATGCACAAGTATGTTGACCGACAGTCTTTCAGACTTCATAGTTAATAGTAGTAGTAGTAGTAGTAGTAGTAGTAGTAGTACCTACCCCTACCCCTACCACTACGCCTACCCCTACCCCTACCCCTACCCCTACCCCTACCCCTACCCCTACTCCTACTCCTACTCCTACTCCTACTCCTACTCCTACTCCTACTCCTACTCCTACTCCTACTCCTACTCCTAC